ATCAGTCATATCTTTTTCTTTTAATGTACTGCATTAAAAAGCAGTGCTTTCATTTACATTCTGTTGTTCTACTTCAAAATGTACCAAAATATTTCAGATTCATAGCATAGTTTAGCTCAATCTGTTCCCTGCTTCTTATCATTTGGGAAAGTATTGTGAAAAAAATGTAATCCTTAATAAAAAATTACAAATAATAAATTTTCACACAATATGTATTTATTAAATACTTAAGTCAACCTGAAGATATTCTTGAAAATAACTGTTGGTCAGCATAATACTATTTTGCTGAATTCAACTAGAGATATTTTAAGAGAATGCAAGATCATTTCCCTACTTACAGCTTTACAGTTTTGCAACTGAAATGTACACACTTTTAAGAGAAAGGAGAAGTGATATGCTTTTCCAGTCTTGATACGGAAGGCAAAATTTGGGCAGGAAAACATGTACTTTGAACATGTAATTTGAAACAATGTCTGTTTCAAATTCTTATTTAGAAAAATACTCCCAGCCAACCTCCCAAAAAGTTCATTAATGTTGTTTTTGCTCGAAGTAAAACAAATAAAATCAGGAATATAAGTATCCAATATAAAAGATTAGAATGTTGTCCCAAAAATGTATAGGGAGTATGCAAGAGTTCAAGCTAAGACTGCAATTCTGCAAGTTCCCCTATTTTTATTTAATCCATAGCATACTTTTAGTTATGTTGCAATGAAGGAGAGATTGCCTGGTACAAAAAAAGAGAAAAAAATCAACATAAGCACTAGGTGAGCCTCCTAAAGAAAAAATTCCATATTTGAATGTTGCTGAATTGTAACTATGCTCATTTGAAAAGCACAATCCCATCCAGAGCAAACTAAACAAAATATGTGAACAAACAACCACAACCCATGGACTTTCCGGCTTTTGGCTTTAGCCAGTCTATGGCTTTTTCCTGATACCAGTTAAATTATTCCACCACTTAGGTATTTATGATGAGAATGCTAATCTTTTGAATCTCACTTCCATTCTTCCAACGTAGTATTTACTCAGCATACATTATAGTATGCCAAGTTTCAGTTTAGCTGAAAAGAATCCTCTTCATGCTCCTAAATAATGAAACTTTTAGTTCTGAAGCACACATTTAGAAAATCCATAAGAGTGACAGTTATTTCACGTACCTCTCTATTTTGCAAATTCCTAGGTCCTGCATTCTTTACTTATAAGTAAGCTATTATGGTGATCAAACTCACTTGAAATCTCAATCATTGCAATTCTCTGTTTTCTTTTTCTGTTTTTTCCATTGCAAATCGAGCATGATTTAGGAAGTAGTAATAGTAATAAAGAAATCCAGTTTGGTATAGTAAGTAAACGCACCAAGTTAGAAATTAGGAGATTGCAAGTTCTAGACCTGACAAAATAGAAAACCATCTGGGTAACTTTGGACAAGTCACTCTATTTCACCCTTAGAAAGAAGAAAATGGCAACCCACTTCTGACAATTTTGCCAAGGAGACAGCACTTGTTTATTATATAGTTGCCAGGAGTCAAGACTGACTTGAAGAAACACATTTAATTTGACTAACTGAAGAAGAGATACATGAACAGTAAAATATTACATAATTATGTGTTGTTTTATTTATTTAGGAAATTTATTTGTCACCCATCTCATATCTAATGACCCGCACCTTCTAATGACCATATATTTTTCCATAAAAATATTACACAATAACTAATTATTTCAGTAATATACTATTTTAACAGGGATTAATATTAGACACAACAGGCAGGTAAAGATAACCTCAACTCCTGAAGACTCCATGACATGTATATGTTGTATTCTTGGCAACAGTGTAAAAGCAGTTTGCCCTTGCTTTCTTCTGGGATGTTTTTTCAATGTTCCAGTCCAACCTTAGTGTTAGCAAGGAAAAGCCAGTCATACATTCCCATGCAAAGCCTTGGTGTCTAGAATCTTACCTCTACTATAGCAAATGGGTTAAGTTTTGTATTTCCTTCTTGGCAATCCTCTTTAGCAATAGCAATATCACTTAGACTTATATACAGCTTCATAATTGCTTTACAGTCCTCTCTAAGCAGTTTACAGAGTCAGCATATTGCCCCCAACAATCTGGGTCCTCATTTTACTGACCTCGGAAGGATGGAAGGCTAAGTCAACCTTGAGCTGGTGAGATTTAAACTGCTGAAATGGCAGTCGGTAGTCAGCAGAATTAGCCTGAAATAGTGCATTCTAACCACTGCACCATCGTGGTTCAAGTCATTATTATGAGATAGGCAGCTATATAAATCATATAAAATCTGAGAATAATAACATCTTTGTCATCATAAAGGACACAAAGAACATCCTCAAATTCTTTCTTCAATCTGATTAACGTTTCTATCATTAAGACATTTAAATATACTGGCCACATTTGTAAATTAAATCCTTTCCTCTAGCAATAACTCATATTGAAGAACCAACACACATTCTGGATGCTGCTTAATATTTTCCTAAAAGCAATCTGGCCTTTCCAGCAGGTCTACGTTTATAATAGCCCCACTGTGTATTCTGTACAACAGAATAATCCACAGACTCACCAAAGCTTGGTAGGAAATTCAGTAAGTTATAATTTACTGCCAAATTCTCAGACATGACAAATGTTAATTCCTTCTAGAGCATACATTCCAGAAACAGTATTCAAACCATGCTTCCAAACAGAATATGCCCACATGCCATATCACAGGCTCTAGCCAATTCCAACACACATGCATTTAATTTCAAATGCAAAGATATTCTCCAAATGAGTCCAATTGTTTACTCACATTAATTTTTGTAGGACTGGAACTTTTACCATAGGATGATCGGAAACCTGCTTAAGGGTGTTGGGAACCTAGGAAAGTCATAGGTGGAGAATCATCTTTTAAGACCTTCAGATCACTGTCATGTCAGGAAATAAGATTTAGAAATATTAAAGCACAGAATAATCTGGTACCTATGGGGAATGTCCATACTGTATAAAGTTCAGGAAACATGTACAATTAACTGTACTTCAAATGGTATAGGAAGCAGCTTCTCTGTAACTCATCACAATTTGCGGTGACTGAATAAAGAGTTAAACAGCTCACAGTGACAGAGTTCACATACTGCACTTAGCTGTGCCTTACATAATAAGCCACAAATTGTTGTCTCTGAATATATTGCTATCAACCATGATTTACAAAATGGCTAGGATCATAAAATAGGCTAAAAAAACTGTATTGTAGTTTAATGCAGTGTATGAACTCAAGTGATATTTGTAATTCAATTGCCAAGCACCGCTTTACAATTACAAAGACAAGCTGCAATATTTTGCATTCAATCACAAAATTACGAAGTAATATATAACAAGCCTATAGTGTGAAGAACGCAGATCCAGACACAGTTTAGGCAGATAGCTTAAGTTGATTTTTTTTCCTCTAAAGTTTACTTGGTAAAAGTGATTTTTATTACAGCCAGGTCCCCAAGCCTCCAGATATGTACTTTTGCATTTTTAGCAATTAGAGTTTATGCATAAAACACAGAATAAAAGTCAAGAACCACAAAGATCCATTTTACACTTGCTAAAAAGCTTTAAATAGCCAAAAAAGTCATTAGACATGAAACTGAAAACTGAGTCACTTCAAAATATGTAGAGCAATGTCCTCCTGTAAAAGTATACAGACACCTGACATGTATCAAGAGAAACTTTACCAGCTTTTTGAAATAGGAATAAGAGAAAATTATTTCGTAAAAGTAAAACGATCCTTTGGATAATGAAAAAAAAAACCCAAAACAAACCAGAAGAACAAATACTACAAATATTCGGACCAAAGCAAAACAGAGGAACACTACAAAGATTTGGAAACCTTGGCATTAGTGCACAACTCCAGTGCAATTTTGTTTCTACATTTTTGTACATGTTAACTTCACATTTCCTATGCTTCCTTCTCTTTGTATACATTTTCATACCTTCTATTCTTTTTCTCAGACATCTAAAAACAAACTGTCATCCACAAATAGAAAAATAAATAAACAAACCACAAGGGTGACAATGACTGAACCTATCTTAAATCCAGATCAGATCTTCAACTGAAGGTTCAGACGATCAACTGCATACCAAAAATGGCTGTGATGTTCAATTAGAAACATACAAAAGAAGGCAGGAGCAGCCCAAGAGGCTTCACTAATTAACAAAAGGACTCCCTCCTTATAATACACATCAGCCTCAACAACCTCCAAGGTTTCAACACTTTAACAAGCGTCTCCCCAAACCAACGTTCACAGAGGTAGTCCTAGAAGGCAAAGCAAGCGCTGGCCCCCTTAACAGGAAAAGCCCCGAAAACACCCCTGGCTTTTTCCAGCTTCAATTCGCTTCTCTTCCTTGCGCTTGTTTGAGACCTTTTCTCTCCCCCCACCCCACCCCACCAGAAGACCCATCCCGACGCTGAGCCTAAACACGAGAACGGCCACTAACCAGCGCGACGCCCGTGAGACTTTTGGGGGCGGAGATTCTACCTATGGTCAATTGCACCGCCGGGCATTCTCAAGTCTTCGGGACACACCCCCCAGCTTCCTAAAAGGCAAACAGCTGCCTGACACGGGCTCCCGCAGCCAACCTCGGCAGCGCCACCCCGGGCCACTCGCAAGAGCTCCGCAAGCCACACCCCAGGCACCTACCTGAGAAGGCTAGAGAGCGGGTGCCCCCCCCCGCCGCCGCCGCCGCCGCTGCCCCCCGAAGACGCCGAGCCGCCCCCCGAACCGAAGCCCGAGCTAAGCCGCTTGCCCGAAAGCAGCTTCTCCACGGCGGGCAGGTTCCCAGTGCGGGCGGCCTCGAGCAGCTCTTGCTCTTTCCCCATGGCCCGACGCGGGCCGGGAAACCAGCCCCCGATCCTTACTAGGAGTCCTCCTCGGCTACCGCCGCTGCCTCAACCCGGCCGGCGCGTCCTTCCGGGGCGGGGCCAGAAAAGCCACGCCTCCCGACCGAGCCTCGCCAAGCCCCGGTCCGGCTAATGAAGCCGAGATAGGCGGGGAGGCCGGTTTGGCGGCTGTCTCCGAACAAGCGGGGAGCGCTGGCGAAGATGCGGTAAAATACGGTAAAGGAGGACGGCCGGCGACTGCAGTTCCGTACGCATTCGCGACATTTTGGGCACTCTAAGGGGGAGCGCGGGGGGGGGGGGGAGGAAAGGATCTACTCGAATAGCACAGAAGGTGGTTCCCAACAAAAGAACATTTTCTAAGGAGAACAAAAAGCCAAGTCTTCCTCCTTTAAGAATAAGGAGCTGGGAAATTTCCAGTGAAGATGTTTAGTTGATGACGGTTCTCAAGTAACTGAGTTCAGCTATATGCAAAGTTTGTAGGGAAACGCGCAGCGATACAGTCGCTAGCTATTTCACTGTATCTGGATGTATTGAGAACAACCGAGCTGCAGTTTTCGACTTTGCTCACCAAGGTCAGGTAAGTCACAGAGCATTTTATCAACATATTTTTACTGCAGTAAACAAAGGCTTATGCCCACCGAGTCCCATTAGAAGGTAAGAGCTTTTCATGTAACCCCATGCCTAGAAATTACTGTGGTCCAGATAGTTTAGCTCATTTCTTTGAAATCCAATTTCTAGCAGTAGTTCATTATATGGAACAAAAACAAATTGACCAAATGAACTTCAAGCTCATGAGTGTACCAGCAAATTTGGGAGATGAAAAAAGTGGTGTACAAATTGGAAAATCGATTGGATGGAGTGAAAGGCGGAACAGACTGTCAGAATGCCCATTTAAGATTAATAGTCCAGAAATGGCATGTATTACTGAAAACTCAGATCAATATTTAAAAGCCAATCCTTTCAATATTGATTGAATATTAATATTGATTAGGACAAATTTGGATAGTTGAAATTAGCTTTGAAGATATTGTACTGAAAGTGCTGTAGTCACAAATAGATGGAAGAAAGAAGGAGAGAGCAGGTAGATCTATTGAAAACTTTATTCCTACCCAGCTATTTTTTACAAGTGATAGAGATTTGCCATGTATGTAATATACACTAAACCCAATCTAGTCACACTCAGTATGGTTAGTTAAAGGTTCAGTATTTTATGTAATGCAGAATATCAGATTAATTTAATTCAGATAAATTTGGGTAAGTATGACAAACCGACATGTTCACTGGAAAGTGGGGACTCAGTAAATTATTTACAATGCTTGTATGTCATCAATACTTACTAAAAAAATCACACTGATTGCATGTAAAACAGTTTTTGCCTGGGCTTAACTTGCTTTTCAACTGCTGTTATTCAAAATGCCCATTTGAAATTCACTTCTATTACAAATAGGCTTTAAAAGAAGCATAGCTGAACTGAGGAAACTACTTTAAACATAATTGCAACTTGGAAGAAGAGAACTTTGTTATTGCATTTCAGACAGTTAGCCCTCACCTCTGCAACATCTCTCTCAAAAAGACCTCCCATAGAGCAACAAAACAACATAAAATACATAATCATATTCATATCCTTAATACCAAAACAAGCCATTACTGAATAATATGGTGAGTTGATTCACATAATAAGCTAAGACATAATGGTTTTATCACAGCAGCTTTGCAGTGCTCTCCTCCCATTTCAGAATGTGGGACTGAATATGCCCTTAATGTATGCCTAAGACAGAGCTATGTGCTACTGCTGTCTAGACAGTTCCATCAGTCAATACTGTAAAAGACTTCTGGTTTTTCCCATCTGAAATTACAGTCATGTCCAATGTCCCCAACCACAGGAAAAAATGTATTGATGTAGTGCATTCAGGCATTCTGCCAAAAAATTTTTTTAAAAAAATTCACCACAGAATTATCAACTTTATGAATGTAATATGCCTGTCACAGTGAAAAATAATGGAAGTATGTATTAACTTTATGAAAAGTTTTCATAGGTGCTGCTATCTAATGCTCAGCCATATTACTGCATCTTGAAATCAGAATCCTAATCTGTATTTAATTTGGAAAACCTCTAAATAGCATCATTTATCAAATTATTTTTTTAGAATCATTTACTTACTAGGAGATAAATAGTCCTGTCGTAGAAATTCAAGATCAGTTTACCATGTCAATAGCAATAGACTCCCCATGAAAAGGCTGTGAGAGTGATCAGAAGAATTGATTAGAAATGCTTTGTTTACCAATGGGAATATCAAAATTGTTGACATGCAAATCTACATAATATACCTTTTTAAATGTTTAAGTTGTAGAAATATTGATCTCTCTTCTAAAAGAGATTGATTTCCTCAATCTAAGTTTCAAGACAATACAGGTTGTCCTCAACTTACAGCAATTCATTAAGTGACCATTCAAAGTTACAACTGCACTGAAAAAAGTAACTTATGAACTGTTTTTCATACTTATGACCATTGCAGCATCCCCATAGTCACTTGATTTACATCCAGATCCTTGACAACTGATTCATATTTGTGACAGATGCAGTGTCCTGAAGTCATTTGATCCCCTTTTGCGACCTCTGACAAAGTTAGTGGGGAAAACAGATTCACTTAACAACTGTGTTACTAATTTAAGAAATGCAGTGATTCATGTAATGTGAGAAAAGTTGTAAAGTGGAACAAACTCACTTAAGTTTATCATTTAATAACATAAATGTTGGACTCTATTGTGCTTGTGAGGACTACCTGTACACTGTGTTGTCAATAGTATACTTTATTGGCCAAGTGTGATTGGATACACAAGGAACTTGTCTTGGTGCAAACACTCTCGGTATACATAAAAGAAAAGATACAATCAAACTAAGTCCTTATGCATGTTGGGGGAGGAAGGGTGCCATGCAAATTCTGTGAACCTCTGGGGTTACTTTCCTGAATAGTGGAAATATAAAGTTACAGTACAGGATAGCTGTCTTCCCAGGGATCAGCATTGTAATATCTAAGTCCTGCAAAAGAATAAGAACCAGGCTGCACAAAGATGACTGATCGTCTTGTAGCCACAGTCAATAACAATGGTGACACAGTGCCTAGCAACCAGACAGGATTGAGTGATTTCACAGCAGACCTGCCAGGTTGAAGCTGAACCTGGCCATATAAAGCTAAAGTTCCTCATCTAGGCAGTCTTGATTGTTAAGATAGGAAAGAAAATACTGTATTTTCGCACTGGAATAGATAAACCTGATTTCAGGCTGCTTCAGCAGTGGGTCAGCAGTTAGATAGAGCTGACATTTTGAGGACATGTCCTCTGTAGTTAGACATCTTTGTGCCAGAGCAAGCAGGATCTGTACATTATCCCAATGTGTCATGCTTAGTTTTAGCTTAGCCATTGCGGTTTGTCAAATGGGTTGATAAGAAAAAAAAATCTCCCTAGCAACAATACAGTTTTAAGCAACCTCTCCTTGCATCAATGAATATTATTTTAAAGTTTTGTATTTGGAAAGCATGCGCTGAAAAAAGGAGAGCAATCTAGGATGAGAAGATTAAGGAGCCCCTAAGTGATATATTCAAACATGGGCTGATGCCTTTTTTTAAAGAAGTGCAGATTTTTTCATTTCAAAGTTGGAAATATGGGATTTGTAAAAAGACATTATTACAATGACTTTCTAAATTCTTACTAAGAACTTATTTTTAATTTCTCTCATTTGTTTTGAAGGAATGACCTGAGAGTACTTGAACAATTAATGGAGCCACAAACATAAGAAGGGTCACAGTACATAATTCTTTTTGTTCATAATTTTCTTTTTATTTCAATTTACCTTAGGGCCTTTTAAAAAGTTACATGCTTTAGTCTACCATTTGTGCATCGCTTTTTGAAGAAATGAGAATACTTGGGTTCAGAGGAATGCTTTATTATCTGGGTTCACCCAAAACATTTACCTATTAATTACCATTTTTTTAAACTGTATAAATCACCTTTGGTGTGGTTCATATAAACGCTACCCACAAATCCCACCATGTTACTGCATCGCTGCTTAGTGGGTTGTGTGAATAGAGTACCGAGCATGGCATCGGTCTTTATTTCAACTTACATGCATAGTTTGCATTCGTAATCTTGGAATTCCTTGCCCTAGTTTATCTTTCCTTCTGTTTGGTATATGTTGCTGCTGGATGCTAAAAGCAACAAAAGGCGGACTCAGATTTGCATTGTTTTGTCGGTTAGACAGCTAGGACGTCGCCTGGGATCCGCGAATTCAACCTCACCCGCAAGACTTCGTTCTCCAACAGCAGCGACAAAGTCCGCATTTCTAGTTTCGACTAATGGGGGTGTGGTGCGTTCTCATGGAAATAAGGCGTCCAGTGCCGCCCTAGTACGTCATTAAAACGCGACACGCGCCAGTCCTGATTAGTATGGCTGAGGCTGTAGTGTCTGGTAAAGAGGATGGTCTTTTGCCCATTGTGTCTTCCCCGTCTTCCGTGGAGTCTTCCGTCGTTGCGATAGAAGTGACGGAACGCCAGGAAAAAGAACCAGCCGACATCAAAGAGGAAGTACAGATTGTAGAGGTGAGGACGGAAAAGTTCGCAACGCAATTTGCAGAAACGGGGCTTCGCTTTCCTGGTTGATGCTCCAGGGTGATTGCCGCCCTGAAGTAACGGGGGTTTTCCTCGCCTGCTATTTCTTTGGAATTCCGTATTTAACTAGAACTAGAAGCTCGTGATCCCTTTTAGAAGTTTTTCCTTAGCAGTGACGGAGCTTCTAATGTACTGCCTTCACTGGAAAGGGTATATACACTGATACACATTAACAGAAAGATCTGTCTTGAAAATAGCCCATATTGAACTGTATAGCACAGTCAAACATCAGCACAGGAAACGTTTTAAGATGTTTATGATCATTTTTATGTCATAAAATGTGTTATAAAATTTGCCACATTTCAATTCCACTGAGTGTTAACTAGGAGTTGAGCTTGACTCAGAAAAAGGCTTGTCTTTTTGTAAACATGAGTTATAATCAATTTTCTGTCTAGATAAAATGCAAAGAAACATGTGAATTGATCCCTGGAGAGTTAGAGGACTCTACATTACAATCTATAGCAGCCAAGAAAATAAAAATAGAGATAAAGGAGAAAAAAGATAAAAAAAATAAAGTTGATGAAGATGAGATTCAAAAAATGCAGTGAGTATTTCTCCATCTATATGCTTTTGTTAATGCTAAATGAGTAGAGAAAAGGTATATCTTGCTGTTGCTTTCTCTTTAGGAAGGCAAACCATGTTTTTGGGGGGAGGGCGGGGGAGAGGTCAGGGAATTCCAGAAAATAAGAGTCTCATCTAATGGACACTTTATGGAAACTGTTTAGGGGAACATTCAGTGTGATATCAGGCATTTTGTCATTTTTTTCTTTTGTTCAATTTTGTGTGATTCTCAGGTATCACCTACTAGAGTCTTAGACGAATATGAGCCATAGTGGCTCAGTAGCTTAATGAGGCTGGAGATGGTCTCTGCTCTAGCAGTTTGTATGCTAGCATTCTATGTCAGAGTGAGCTCCATCCCTTGTCTCATCTTCTGTCCACTTAACAGTTCAAAAATATGTTCTATGTGAGTAGATAGATAGGTACCACTTTGGTGGGGAGATGAGTTGGTGCTCTGTGCAGGCAAGCAGATTCCTGCTGGCTCTGAATCTTCCCGGGTTGTGGGGTTTACAAGGCAGCTCCAAGGAAGGGAGGGGCCTAGGATGCTGCTGCAGGAAGAGCTGCTCATCTTTCTGGTGCAAAACCAGCTCACCCTCCTGTGGTACAGCTTGGGGAGTGTGTGAGCATATCCCACAACAAGGCTGGGAAATTGGCAGCCAGCTTACTACTCTGCAATAGTATTGTGGTCTCCTGGCTAATGTAACAATGCCACATGCTAATAACAACAACAATTTGGTTGATACCTAGGATGCTGGCAGCAACCAGTATCAACCATCCACGCCAGTCAGTGATATTTGTGATACATTTTTAAATGTTCAGTTGACTTTCAAGTTTAATTAATAAAAGAGATAACAACAACAAAACAACCACCTAGACAAGTCCCTGTAGTTTTCTTGCAAGGCTTTTCAGAAGTGGTGTGCATTGCCTCTTCCTACAGCTGAGAGAAAGTGACTAGCTCAAGGATCTTCAACCTTGGCAAGTTTAAGATTTGTGGGCTTCAACTCCCAGAATTCTTGAGCTAATATGACTGGAGGAGGAATTCTGGGAGTTGAAGTCCACAAGTCTTAAAGCTGCCAAGTTTGAAGACCCCTGGACTAGCTAGACCAAGATTCTTCAGCTGTCTTTGTGCTGAAAGTGGGACTGAAATTACCAATAATAGTCTGTCATTCCTAGCCTGAAACCCTAACTACTACACTAAATTGGCTCTCTCAAAAAAGGGAAATTGGCCACATTGGCTGGGAATCAAACCCAGGTGTCCCACATGGCAGGCAAGAATTCTTCCACTGACCTATCAGCACAAAGGTTTTTTTGGGGGGCGGGGATTGATTACTTACAATAATTATCACCTGGCATTAGGCTGTACTTTCCCCTTTGAACAGTTTTTATTAATTTGCATGTGTGCATTTTCTCTTTCCAAAAAGAAAAGATTTTGCAAAGTGAATTGATTTGTGGGAAACTCAAGTTCCAATTGGGGTTGTAATTCAAGAACCATCATTATTATTTATAATACATTGCAGTAATTCTATAGATGCATCATTTTTTATTTTTAATATGGTAAAAATAAATACAACATGTACAAAAGAAGGCTCTTTGGAGTTTTCCATAATTTTTAAAAGTGGGAAGCATGTTTAAGAAGCACTGCAATAGGAGATATTTTGGCTTTTTTCTTTCTATTTCTCCCCGAAACCCAATGGTTTCCTGTAAATGGGACCTTCTAGACACTGTGATAAGTTGCATTGGAAGGCTTCTAGGGTAGAAAAAATAGGCAAAGTCACCCTCCTTTAACCAGAATGTTTAGAGCAACATTCAGGAAATACCACCACTGAAATAAAATTCTAGATTTAACTCAGTGTTTATCAACAGAACGTTATACAATCTCACTAACTTTCTCACTTTGTAATTTTAAATAAGTGCTGCAATTATTGTTTGTTGCAGAATTCTGGTTTCCTCTTTTTCTGAAGAACAGCTAAATCGTTATGAGATGTATCGACGATCAGCTTTCCCTAAAGCTGCTATTAAACGGGTAAGATTGATTTATTGCAATTAAATTTATTTATTTGGTTGGTTATTTATAACAACCAAGCTCAAAGGGCCCTAGAGTCCCCAGTTATTTGTCACATTTAGAAACTGCCCATCTCCCTCACAGATTTGTTGATGTGTATTGATTATCATGCACGGATAACTTGTCTCAGTATCAATTTACCATAAAATTTTGCTGCTGACATTGAGGTGGGTAATTCACGTGTGGCCCTGGGAAGATCTCTGCAGCCTTCCAGCACTTGAAGTTTGCTGAAAATGGTTGTCTTTTTTTTCATTTTTCAATGTGAAATTCTGGCCTTTCCCTTTAAAAAGTAAAGTGGGAACTGCAGTTTCTTCCATTTCTATCACTAAAGCCATCATTTTCAATGTAGAGAGTTGGGGTGAGGGGGAGTTAATGGATTTTAAGGGCTTAAGTAGTAGTGAGAGGGTTTGCTTTCAAAAGGCTTTCTGTTCCATTCTCACCATCCGTGGGGCTATGTTACTTGTGGCTTCTGGATGATAGGAGAAATGAGTTGCACCCCACGGTTGCTGAGAATGTTGCCCACATCTGTGCTAATGCTATTGCACACCGTGGTATTCATGATTGGAAGTAAAAGAAATATCTAAACAATGGGGTTCTCTGGAATTGCCTTTCTTCCTTTCTCAGCTGATACAGTCCATTACTGGAACCTCCGTGTCTCAGAACGTTGTTATTGCCATGTCAGGAATTTCTAAAGTCTTCGTTGGAGAAGTAGTTGAAGAGGGTAAGTATAAGAATAATCTAATTCTTAATTTGTAGCTTCCATTAACTGAAGATATACCTTGCTAATTACTACAATCTAAGTATTCTTTCATGTATATATTTTATTTAGCTTTTAGTAAGCCATCTTTTAAATAGTTGCATGGTAAAAATGTCTTCCGGAAGTTATATTCCAGCTGCGATGTAGCTATATTGATGTCAGAAAACCAGAACATCAAGTTTGCCCATTGCTATTTTATGTACTAGTTTACTCCTAAATATTATTATTCCCCTTAGTATGTATATTGCTACTTAATGCATAACAGGTCAGTATTTTTAAGAGAAACGAGATTGTTATATCAAGGCAAAGAAATATCAGTTGTATATTTGCTTGCTTTTTAGTTGGCAAAGGGAACACTTAAATTAAGTATAAATTGATAAAATTAATTTTCAGATAATTTTTCTTCTTATATAATAACTGTAGTACAATATACACACAAATGCTTTTCCTTATTTACCACCCATTGCTTACAAACAGAACAAATGTCCCCTACTATTTTACAAAAGTATGTGTGTAAATATGGAGTAGACTGTGCAGCAGAGACAACTACTGGTAATTTTGTTAATTTTCACAGGCTATTAGAATTTGGAACATTAAGAGGCCAGTTTGGTGCAGTGTTTAAAATGCTTTTCACTAGAAACAGTTCTAATCCTCCCTTAGGCATCAAGTTGACCAAGTGGATTAGTCATTTTTTCATAGCCTAACCCCCCCCCCACCTTGATTACTAGTTGTGAGGAAAACAGAAGGCAGAAGAATTATGTACACTGCACTGAACTGCACAAAATAAGCAGAGTATCGAAGTAATAAAGCTGTAGGTGCATGGTAACTACTTTTGCTAAAATGTAGAAATATGGATTTTGCTATCACATCTGCTTTAATCCAGTGACTTGGCAGCTAGCGTAACAGATTTACTTTTGTCTTGCACAGCGTTAGATGTATGTGAAAAGTGGGGAGAATCACCACCTCTGCAACCCAAGCATTTGCGTGAAGCAGTCAGACGATTGAAATCACGAGGACAGATTCCAAATTCCAAATATAAAAAAATTCTTTACCACTGAAGAGGAAGCGAAAAAAGTATCTTAAGTGGATTGGAGATGTCTTCACTGAAATGAAAAAGACTTCTAAGATTTTCTGATGTTCAGCTAACTTAAAACCGTCACGCTCTGCAAAATTAAGATATTCAATAAGTCCAAGTGTGTAATGATAAGACTATATTGCAAATATATTGTGCTAAATATAAAAACATTTTTAAGTAGGCAAAATAAGAAATATTGATGTAATAAGATTACAGGAAACTTGTGAAACATAGTTTCGTTTAAAAGGATTTTTTTAAAAAAATGTGTTATGGGTAGGCCTTGGATAATGGCCATTCAGTAACTATTTGAATTTACTACACTGCTGAAAAAATGGACTTAAAACCAGCATTACATTTATGACCTTCACAGTGTCCCTATGGTCATGGAATCAAAATTTGGATGCTTGGTGACTAGCTCACATTGACAACCATCGTAGTTCCCTGAGGTCACCTTCTCTTGCCTTGTGTGAACAGCCTCTGCTTCAGGTCTCCTCACTTGCCTATCTCCCCCCATCTCTTTCCTTCAGGCTGCCCTAGACACTGTCCAAGATGAAGACGTCACTGTACTCCAGTGTCCCCACCCGCAGCTGATCTGGGTCTTCTTTGCTCTCCTCCCCTGGGCTTGCTGGCCCCAAGCCCCACTGCACAGGGGCTCTGACAGCACTGGGCTCACCTCTGCCCTCTTGCTTACCCTGCACTGCATGGCCAAGATAAAGATGCTGCTTATTCTGCCATTGCCCCTTGCTGCTGCCCCATCCCTGGTGCTATGGCCTTGAAGCCAGCCATCCGCAGCCAGCCCAGGGGAGGAGAACGGTTAGCAGAGAGTGGCTGAATATAACATCTTCATCTTGACTATGCTGTACAAGGTGAAGCAGAGAAGGGGAAGACAGAGGCAGATTGAAGCAAGACACAGCTTGAACAGGACAATTGGCTTCTGGCTGAGTGATCCCCTGAAAGTGTCCTTTGGCTTGGAAGAATCAAGGCCTGGGACTGGCAGGGACTAATCTGAGAATAGTTTGGATCATGGTGGGAGTTGATGGGGGATGTGATCACCATTTGTGACCTTCCCTTTTGGCTTCTGACAAGCAAAGTCAATGGAGAAGCTGGCAGGAAGACCCAAGTCATAGTCACAAACCTTTGCTTAACAACCACTGTCACTGCCATTGTTAAGCAGCACTGCCACATGATGCTTTGCTTACTGTCCTCTGCTTAGCAAAAAAAAAAAAATCCAGTCCCAGTACGGGTTGTTACCTGAGGACTATTGGTATTGCAGGTACCATTACATCTGTTGACAACTATATCCAGCATAGTAATTATAGTTATTTTTCTTCTTAATCCTAATGTTTAAGTTTGCATTGATCTCTCAGTTTAAACAAATGTGGAATTCGTTAATTATTACAGCAAGGTCAAGGAAACATGTGCCGTATACTTGTAAAGAATTACCAAAACCATTGTACATTGACATGTGCATTATAAAGCTAATGTTAAACTTAAAACTTGCCATTTTAATAAGTCCCTTAAGTGTTTGTGACAAGTTCATAAATGTTTACAAGGTGTATTAATTGCAATTATCAATACAAATAAATTAATATAAATAGAATCTTAGAAACCTAAGCCTGAGAAATCAGTGGAAATAGAAGGTAAGCATTTTAATACACAATGTTTAAAAGTGGTTCATAGAACCAGTATTGTCAAGAGAAAATTATATTGTGTGAGAAAGAGATCCAATATACCTAAGGCTTAGATTTCAAGTCAGACTTGTACCACATATTGTCTATTCCCATACACTCACTCTCCTGTTTGAAATTACAGTAGTAGTTATACAGAGCTTTAAAATTAATTTTTTGATATGACATTATAAAGAGTTTAGTTCTTCACATTTACATATAAATACAGCACTGAAGAAAGGAAAACATTTTCAGAAACAAAACCACACTAAATACTGTTGTAATCAAATATCAGCTTCAGTGGGTTTCCTCTTAATGCTCATGTTAAGTTTAGATAAATAATTGTTCTTAGCATAGCAGAAACATCTGAGGCATTCATGCCATAACAGGCTAATAAGCTTAGTTTCTACTAACTGAAACAAGCATACTACACCAAATTATTTGCCACAGTATACTGTTTCTACATTTTGCCTTATTTTAACCCGAATTTATATTGGAAGACATAAAATTATTTTAGTCAAAAATGCAAAGACAATATGGTATAATAAGATACACTGATTTTTACCCTGCTGCATTTCTAAATGAAAGGGTTACTTTAAGTGAACAGAATGTGTATTGCACCAAATGTAAATGTTCATACTTGCCTCAATCTTAACTCAAAAAAGAATTAGGTGCACATATATTTATTTAAATAAATCATCAACATATTTGGGCAATTATTCAACTATTAGATTTAGAGAAAAAATGTCTTCACACAGCACCATTCACTAACCTTCCTGTCAAAATTGACAGAAAACACATAGTTACGCTTAATGTGTTATTTTGGAGTGTCGTATCAGCAGTTTCATATAGTCACAGACTTCTATTCATCAGAAAAAATAAGCATATAATCTGCAAAAGCACACTACTCTTTGGATAAAGAGTGCTTTCGCAAATATATTAAAGAAGGCCTGTCCCATTAGGGTATTATCCAATATGGAGAGACAGAATAATGTTTACTCCAGTGCATAGCCTGGGCTTGTTTAGAATATTGTAATAGATATAACTTAGGAAAAGTGTAGAAGCAACAACTGTTCCTTACATAGCAAAGAGGCAAAATGTAGAATACATGCAATCTTATAAGCAAAAATCATTAGCATTAAATTAAAGAAACTGACAGAAGCACAGCACAGCTGCAAAACTTCCTAGAGTTCAGCAATTCTACAAATAAGCCCAAAGGCTAACAAATTATTTGAAGCAGCAGCTTTTTTTAAAAAAAAGTTCTTTATAATTCACATGGTGAAGATGAGATCATAATTGCTCTATCGCAATCAAGGCAGAAAAGCTGTAACAGGTGGGTGCTTCAACTAAGAACTAACTACTAGACAAAAATTAGCTGTAGTGCATAAACTAAATTTAGCATTTTATTATAAACAAATTGGATAATATCAAGCAAACAGCTATTTACTGAAGCTCGTTATCCTCACCATGTTCCATTTTTTAAAAACAAAAAGCCACATATAAAGGACATTATATAATAACTGCACTCTGATCCATTATGGTAGATTGTTTTGACAAGATGTTCAAAAAAATGCTGTAAAAATCCACAATCCCTTCCTGTGTTGTTTCAACTGAGTACAGATGTTTTTTTGCTATCCCTCTCTTATTTTGCTACTAGTAAATTAAGTATTCTGGACAACTTTAAAACTTGCACATATTTTTGTGAATTTTGAGCTGGCTTAGTAAAGGTACCCATCAATTCTAGGCTCAATAGTCCATTCTATTCTAATTCTATTCATACAGCCCATTAGAGTTGCCATTGGTTTTTGTGTAGGTTGCCACTTTTAAAATGCAAATAGTACATTCCCATTTTTGGATTCATATGTGTACAGCAGTATAAACTTTGTTCAATTTGATATTTACCAACTCATACTAATTAATCTCTATTATCTTTCATGCCTTGATCTAAAAAAACCTGGAGTATCTATATCTACAGTATTTATAAGAAGACTCCGCGTACTATTTTAAAAATCACTCTTTTCTATGTAAGAAAATCAGACTTAGTTAAAACTACATTTTAGTGAGAAATGCTACTAGAACTTGACCTAGCTGCAATTCTTTCACAAGGATAAATTCAGATTTTGAATTTTACCTGCCCAAATAACCACCAGGAGTTTTAAATCAAAACAAAGGAATCTTTGCCTTTGATATGCTTTCAGAATTGGTTCGTTTTAGATTCTGCCACTTATCTATTTGATTTGCAGTTGCAGCAGGTTATAATTAAACTTAAATGCATTCTACACATGGTTAAAACTAAGTCATAAAAATCTAGATTAAAATCCATGAGAGTTTTCTGTTAGAGTTGGATGCTATGGGTAACTTTAATTGAAAATCTTATAGTCTATTATAAGACAGATTATTAGCAATTATTTGTTTCTATGTTCTATTTTGGCATAGTTATGGGTACATAAATATTTTGGGAAGCAATATATAACTTCTAACATTTCTTTGGACATATCATTCTCCTTTTAGAAACATTTAAGAAAACTAACACTGCTATAGTATATTTAGAGCCAAATTGTTTTTCTTTCATTCCAAAAGTGATCGCACAAAGGAAAAAAAGGTCAACCATTTTGCAGCTAAAACAATTTCTAGCAGCATTCCACATCTTGCAGATTTTTTTTTATTATTTACCAAAAAGATTCCTTAAATATATGACCTAAAGCGATTTGACAGATCTCATTTCCAAGCCTTTCCAATATTATTAGTTAGTTAGTTGGAAAATAAAAGTTATCTATATTTTCATTAATAAGGACAATGTTTTGTCAGGCACTTTCTCACCAAATTATACTCCAAAATGGCTGTAAATCCATTTTAATGAGGTGGACTTCACAAGGAAGCACAAGGAGGGTTAGTGTATCAATACTACATTAATAGATTACCATATTATGAGGAAAGGAGATTAGAGAAAATATAATTTCATGAGAAATTGTGGGGGGGGCTCAACTCTTTTCTCTGAGAGCAGTAAGATGGAGTTTGTATTTTCTATTCCGCGCACTTTTTTCCTGTGTTGGGTCTGTAACTGTATCTCCATTCCAGTAACTGTGTCTCCATTCCAGAGGTGGTATTCAGCAAGTTCTGACCAGTTCTTGAGAACCGGTAGCAGAAATTTTCAGTAGTTTGAAGAACTGGCAAATACCACCTGTGACTGGAGATTTTACAGTATCCTTTCCCTGCCACGCCCATGAAGCCACGCCCACAGAATTGGTAGTAAAAAAAACCTGAATCCCACCGCTGTTCCATTCCATATTTCACACTCATGTTGCTACAGCAGAATTCCCTAATCAGGCCTGAGCTAAGCAGAATCTAATTTCTTTGGTGTAGGGTGATCATGTTCCCAACACCTACCTGTAAGAAACAGTTCATAGCAAGAAATATGTTTATCAGCACTGCTTTATGATAACTCAAGTATTTTCTTCTTCTCTCACTATTCAACTGACAAAAGTGCCATGCTTTAGCTACAGTACAGTTTTATGTTTTCCAGACACAGCTGGGCTACTAAATCCAGTCTCCCGTTCATCTTATTCCCATGTACTTTCTTGCTACATTTCTGCTTCCATCCCTTGTAATGGCATTTTGCTTTTCAAACTAGCAGCTCTTGAATGAAGATGAACAAATCAACTGCTTTGCTTTTAACAAGTAAACCTTTTCAATGCTGGTAGTAATTTCTGAATGCTCTGAGCATCTCTTGCTCAGGTCTTTGTTGTCAAAGCTGGAAGAGAGGATCATATTTCTTGATTTCCTGCAGCAGATGTAATTTGTCCTGATTGGCTTCTGCAAGAGCTTTCCGAGTATCCTGTAACTCTTTCTCCAAAGTTAATTCTGTTTTCAACTGCAAAACACAAAACAAAATTGTAAAATGTGGGGTAAACTTGGCCTGGTAAGAGTGTTGGATCTGAATTCAAATTTTATGTAGCCATTAATCATTTTGGGACATTCATGACCTTTGAACCTAACATACCTCAAAAGATTGTTGTGAAGATGAAAAAAATTAGTGCAGTGACTAGGAGTTAAAGCAAGGGATGAATATAATAAATGAATGAAATTATAGCTAGAATAAATTTTCCGGGAAAACTACTAGCAGACTGAGAAATCTAGTTATTTATTGGAAGCCAAAAATTTAATGCAGTAACTAATTTCAGCACTTCTTATAAGGGATTATTAAGAGAATGTTATCAGATTTCCAACTGTTATTATCAATCTGAAAAGCAATTCAGTATTCGCTCCCCTAGGGAGCAGCAAATTTAGGGGGAGGCAAGCAAAAGCAATAAAATAGCATGAATTAGCATGCCTCACTGAACAAAATAAAACAGAATTCATGCTTATTGTCTTACAATAAATAACATAATTTTTATACCACTGAGTGCCTAAATTTCATAGTGTAACACATGCAATTAATGCTTCCTTTCCTGCCTGAATTATTTATTTTTTCCTGAAAATAAACTAGAGTTCTCTGAAAGAGGAAAAAGAAGCAACAAATGACAGACCCTAATTCTAAAAGGATTTTTTTAAGATTACAGTCAATCAATATAATTAGAGTTGGGATTTGTTTTAATGAAGTTACAAATATGCTAATTAGCATATGATCTCTTTGTAGTACTAGAGATTTATTATTTAAATACTAATAAGCTGTATTACTAAAGACCATCATATCATATCATACATGGTTTTTGGTTTTTGTCACTATTCCTTATTCCAATCATAGGCACTTTGCAGCAATATCTGAATTAATGTATATCCCAATATCATAGCTTTTGATGAAAACCAATTATTAAATATCTTTTTTTCAATGCCCTATTTCTAATAACGATCTTTTAAAAAGGTCTTAGTAAGGTGACATCCTTTTCCAAAAATGAAAGGGGGAAGCTGAAGTGAGGGTTTTCAGAAGCAACCTATTTATGGTACTTACAAAGAAGTAAATACCCCCAGAAAAAAATAAACATGGGTACAGAGAATATATTTTGTCTACCACCTTTTCTTTTGGGATTGCAAGCTATTTGGTAAGGGGCATATAGGGCATACCTCTGGTTCATCATCACTTCCCGCTGAAACTCTAGAGATTCTCTCTACTGGAACATGCTGTTTCTTAAGATTTTTCTGGACTGTTTTCTGGGTAGAAGATTCTTCTCTCTGTGCAGCTGGAGAGTAAAGTATAACACAATATCTCTGCAATTACACAACAGTAATTCTTCTAGCTTAGCATCTCCACTTTTTTGAACTGAGCAACTAAATATAATGGAGTCAGATTGCTGAACGACAATATTTAACTGCATCTCTGTCGCGCTATATCAGAACTTATCTAATGTACTACAGTGCAGCAGATACAACAAAGAGAAACTGAGACAGATTATAATAGTTTTCATCAAACTGACACACTATATGTGTACTACAATCTAATATCGGCAATTCCCAGACATAACACATTTCCAACACATAAATAGGGTGCGAGGTTTGGGAGTAACTGCAGCCTCATATAAGCCAGTGTTACTGGAATGCAGGGTACTGACCTGTTATAAAGAATATTCCATCATCTTTACAATGAAGAACAATGTGGTCCATGACTAAAATTATAGGCAAAGGACCAGGAGTGGGATGATACACTCGAGGACTGTCATCCTTAGAAAAACAAAGAAAATTATCTTTTATTATAAAATACTTTCTAATTACTTCACTTGACTTATGACCACAATTGAGCACAAAATTGCTGTTGCTAAGTAAGATTAACAAAATGAGTTTTCCCTCATTTTATGACCTTTCTTCTGCCAGTTGTAAAGTGAATTACTGCAGTTGTTAAATTAGTAACATGATTGTTACGTGAATCTGGCTTCTCTATTAACTTTGCTTGTCAGAAGGTTGCAAAAGGCTATCACATGACCCTGGACACTGCAACCGTCATAAATATGAGTCAGTTGCCAAGCATCTGAATTTTGATCATGTGATGATGGGGATGCAACAGTTAAGTATGAAAAATGGTCTTAAGTCACTTTTTTCAATGCCGTTGCAATGGTCATTAAATGAACTGTGGTAAGTTGAGGACTACTTGTGTTGAGGATAATATTCTTATATTAATATTAGTGATGGCTGTTTCTATATGCTGTATTTGTTAAAACTGGAAAAACTGTCAGGTAATAAAAATGAAATGAATTCAAAGCTGGGATTTAAGGGTGATGATGCACATATACAACAGCTAGAATGGAGAATACGTCTACCACAAGATTGAAATGTTGGGATCTTGGTGTTCGCTGACCTGGTTTTCTTTTCTTACAAAGAGCACCTTGATAGCACCTTTCCTAACAATTGTTATTAAAAATTGTTATTGAACTGCAACTGACTACAGAAGTTTGGAGAATAGAGAATGGGAGAAAAGTTGCTTATGCAAATGCAGGTTACAAGTACCTTATCAATTAGTAAAGTTCCCTAAATTAGGCAATACCGTCAGTGCTTTGACATCAGAAAGTGGGGTTTTCTGACTTATTATGATGCTTGTCCTCTTGCCTTGATCAGGAATATTGAATGCCTGTTAAATAGGGCTTGCTTGGATACACTGTGTTATCTTTCGTTGTTCTTACCTGTTGTGTTGGTTTTTACTTATCTATATGTTTGCTTGGGGTATAATAATGAGGATCTGGTCAGGGCTGTTTGTTTCCTTTTTGGACTTTGTTTTTAAATAGTCTGCAGACTAGATTTATCACTGAATATTAAGCAAGCTAATCCGATATACTGTATTTTCCAGACTATATGCCGCTACATTTTTCCCACGCTCAGGGGGCGCAAAAATGTGACAGACGCAAGAAGTCAATGCAAAGTAGACAACGCTACTGGTAGTTTTTGGCCAGCTCGAAGCAAGCAGCACGACACGCACAAACACAAAATATTTTTCACACCTTCATCATGGAAAGGACACGAAGAAAAGCATATGATGCAGCTTTTAAGTTGAAAGCAATCGATCTGTCTATCCAGGAAGGAAATAGAGCTGTTGCACATAAGCTTGGCGTTAATGAATCAATGGTGAGACGTTGGAGACGTCTGGCTGCATGCGAAAAGCATTCTTCTCTTTCTGTGTAAATATCTCATTTCACAACGTATATATCTGCGGTTTATAGTCTGGTGCGGGTAATCTATGTAAAAATATTTTTTTCTTTTAAAATTTAGTGGGTGCGGCTTCTATTCTGATGCGCTCTATAGTCCGGAAAATATGGTACCTTTTCTTTTTTCATTTGTCTCTCCATGGATGCCATATTTAATGTTACTCCTATGAGCAAGTAATTCATGAAAGCTAATACAATCTTAAATTGATCAAACCCTGATATACTAAGATTTTATCTTATTTTTTTACCTGGAAACATTCAGATACTTTTTAATTATTAACCTGGAAATAAGGAGAAACTTTCTGACAGTGAGAACAATCAACCAATGGAACAGTTTGCCCTCGGAAGTTGTGGGAGCGCCATCACTTGAGACTTTCAAGAAGAGATTGGACTGCCATTTGTCAGAAACGGTGTAGGCTCTCCTGCTTGGGCGGGGGGTTTGACTAGATGACCTACAAGGTCCCTTACAACTCTGATTATCTGTTATCTGTTATTTCTCCACTGTTCTTATGTTTCTCCTTCACTAATCATGCCATTCCCCACCAGTCAGTTAGAACTGAAGGAGCTTCTTGAATGAGAAGCAAAACATTTTCGGAGAAAACATCAAGAAAGTCCAGTTACCTTTTGGAAAAAGCACTTTAGGGGCAATTAGAATAATAAAGATTAGTCTGATCTATTTTTCAAAAATATTTAGCACTGCTATAGCAACCAATAGAGAGCCAGTTTGACCAAAAGGTTAAGGAACCAGGATAGAAAATAGAAGATTGTGAATTCTAGTCCCACCTTAGACATGAAAGCCAGCTGGGCGACTTTGGGCCACTCTGTCTCAACCCACAATGTTACTTGTTACTCAGGTAACAAGTCAGTCAGTCAATTGATCAACACTTTGGCTGACCTGAAAAAAGCAGATCTTGCACTATGCTAGGAGATAAAGGAGAAGATAGAGCAAACCAATATAATCCCTTTTGAATAAGCTAAAGAGCATTTAAATCCATGGAACTTTCCATACAGAGGCAAAGGAAAGACATCTGTAATGTGTTACGGACCATCTGTTTGCTCAGATCAATTCCAGGCTTTCATTCTCCTAATTTACAAAATGAAATTAGAGCTTTGCTAACAGAGGCAAGTGCCTCAGGCTTGAGGCAATTAACTCTACAATGAGCTTAAAAGGCAAAATAACATAAAAGAGAGGAGAAAATGAAGCACTAAACCTTGACTGAAAATGAATTTCAGATTGACTTCACTGATAAATATCAAAACAGACATATAAATGTATGTACTTTTTTATTAGAAACTAATCTACATTTCAAGAAAAGCACCTATAGTAGCCACCTGACTATTGAACTATTCTGTAGTGAGGGATAAAGTTAGGAAGTTGGGGAAAAAAATCCAAGCAACAATCTTGACAGGAGTAATTTGAATGTACGTATTCATCCTAATTTAAGCAGAAGGAGAATGAGAAGGAAGGAAGCATCATTTTATCAGTCCACCTGAAAGGCCAGTTCCATTAGACTTGCCTCTTCCTGACCTAAACTGTGTCCAGCTGATTATTTAAAAACAATATTTAAATTTAAGAATTTGTGCCTGAATTTGTATTCTCCCCTTCAGTCTTCTATTCTTTTTATTAATCTTCTCATCACTCCTATCACCCACTGTCAGCTGGTGCTCCATTCAAAATCCAAGAAAGAAATCCAAGAAAGAAAGACTCCGTTAATCAGAGAAAAGATATCTTTTACTGGAAATCAAGTGGTAACAACAAAAGAATTCTGAATCTGAGAAAATGGGCGCGTAAATCACATATACAAAGTAATGGCAATGTTCCCACCCCCAATAGTTCAAATGGTTCTTCCAATTAAAAGTTGTGAATATCATCATGTGGACATCTCCAGGTGGTGATGAGGCTTCTGTCCGTTTACCTTGGCATAGTTTGATAAAGGTTTGCAGCTGTGCATAGCATAGAAGAGAAAGCTAAGCAAGGAATAGAAACCTAAGCAAGAATGTACTCCCCCCCCCCCAGTTTATACAGTTCTGGTTTGTAACACCTCCAGCTCACTTCCCATAGTTTTCCCCCTCTTCCCCCCGTTACTCATGACAGCCGAAAGATGCAAAGCAAAGGGAGAAGATCTTGAAGGCTGACATTCGACCCTCCTAGAAAAAAGACGTTAGTCCTATAAAAGAAGAAAACATAGAAGGTAACAATCAATATACAGGTAACATGAAGCTCATATTTTTAGGGTTTATCAGGATATTTAGTACGAAATGCTCTGACAAGTGTAGGAGCTCTAACACCTTTTCATTGACCCATTCAGCTTGGGAAGAAGGAAAATGTTTCCAAGCAACTAAATATTGGAGTCGACCCCTCCGTTTCCGAGAATCCAAAATTTCTTTAACTTCAAAATGTTGTTCTCCTTCAATTAGTAATGGTACAGGAGGATCAACCTGGGCTGGTCTCAAATCAGAAGTATGTTCAGGTTTTAATAGACTAACGTGGAAAACAGGGTGGATCCGTCGAAGAGTTTTTGGTAATTTCAGCTGGACTGCCACAGGGTTTACAATTCGTTCAATTGAGAAAGGTCCAACATACTTTGGGCCAAGCTTTTTTTGACTTTTGGGTGGTTTGCAAATATCTGGTAGACAAAAAGACCTTGTCGCCCACCTGATATGGTTTTTGTGGAGTTCTCTTTTTATCTGCAAATTTCTTATGAGTTTGATGTGCATCATCTAATGCTTTACGAATAACCGGCCAGGTAAGCTGGAGTTGCGTTATCCATTCATCTAATGACTGAATGTTAGGCTTCTCACGTGGAAGTTCGGGTATGGGTACAAAGTCTTGTCCCGATGCCACTTTAAACGGAGTAAACCCAGTACTACTATGTACCGAATTGTTATATGCCATCTCAGCAAATGGCAGTAAGTCAGCCAAATTATCTTGCTGATAATTTATGTAACACCTGAGATATTGTTCCAATACCGAGTTAGTCCTCTCACAAACTCCATTAGTTTGTGGATGGTGGATGGAGCTTAAGCCCTGGGCGGAGCCCAATAACTTCAGGAACTCCTTCCAAAAGTTCGAGGTGAATTGAACAGCCCTGTCTGAGATTATGCGTTCAGGAACCCCATGTAACCTGTAGATATGTAGAATAAACAGTTTAGCCAACGTTTTCGCAGATGGAATCTTCGAACAAGTTATGAAATGTACCTGTTTGGAAAACAAATCAGTTACCACCCAAATGACTGTGTTTCCCCCACTTTCAGGTAATTCCACTATAAAATCCATAGAGACTTCCTTCCATGGAGCCATTGGTCTAGCCACATTTTGTAGCAATCCTGCTGGCTTACCAGGAGGCCGTTTGGCTGAGGCACAGATAGAACAACTAGCTACATAAGTTTCAATATCCTTCTTCAAGGTAGGCCACCAAAATTGCTGTTTAACCAAGTATAAGGTTTTCACGAATCCAAAATGACCAGCCGCTTTAGAATCATGAGCTTGCTGTAATATTTGGCTCCTCAGTTTTTCTGGCACATATA